ATTGGAGGAGGTGGCGGAGGAGCTATAATTGGTGGAGGAGGAGGGGCTTGAAGTGGTGAATTGACACGAGATGGCGAATGTGGCGACAATGAACAGTCCGATACAAGTTCCATCTTCACCGAATCTGTGTCGATTTCACGACGAGACAGCGATCTTAAAAAGCAAGGCATCAAGAGTGAGGACCAATAAATAATAAAAACAAAAAAAGGGCGAAAGAAAGCGAGAGAAAGAATGTACTTTGAGGAAGCTTCCCGCTTGGGTGTAACCAACTGGGGGACCTTTTCCTGGTCAGTAGTAGCAGAAGGTTGCTGTGACGTTGCAGTACGCAATGCTGACACGAACGATTCTAACAGTACTCCCTGAAACCACAGCTATAAGAGACATCTCAAAGACGAACTGAACACTCACTCCCAGGAAAACTGGCCCCTGCCATGTGCAAGGTGAGCGGGTCTGCAGCTGCAACAGTATGTCAGCCTCTCCGCTAAAAATGCTCTGGAACGGGACTGGAGTTAAGTGATACCGAGTGCCGTCTCCATCTTCGCCTGCGCTGCCGCACTGCCAGCCATACGCCTAGACATAGCCAAACGCGCTGCTCGTCTGCGCTCTCTCATTTACGGTTGTTCTCTACGGCTCAGTACGTATTTCGTAGCGGGACCTCGGCATCCCACTAGGAAATACGTACTGAGTCGTAGAGAACAGTCTCCATGTTCCGCTCGCGCTATCATCGAAGTGCAGCACTTGCTCGATGCCCAGGTCCTCCTACGAAACACCTATTGAACGGCAGAGAACCGGAAGTGAAGGAGCGCAGAAAAGCAGCGCGTTTGGTTATGGTTAGGCGTGTAATTGGCCGTGCAGCAGTGCGGGGAGGGAGGAATATGGGGACGGCACTCGGTATCAATGCCCTCCGGCTTCGTTTCCGTGCACTACCAAGAGTGGCACGCTAGCACAGCTGCGGACCCATTTATCTTTTTATCTTTATCTGAGGACGCGAGCAAGGTTCGCGCTTATATGAAAAAAGAAGAAACAACAGCAACAACTGAAAGGCGTAAATGAAACAAAAGAATCCGAGAGAAGTAAAGAAAAAAAACATTCGAAAGAGAGCATAAATAAAACTAATAACTGCGACCCATAAGAAATGAAGAGGGAGCACTGAATTATGAGTGATGAACATAAGCTCCATCAATTCAAGAAGTTTCATTGACCTGACTCATGGCAAGGGTCGCCATCCACGGAGGTGAAGGCACAGTATGTCACTGATGTACTGAACAAGTTTCACTCACCGTATTGACAGTGCCAACCATTCGGTTCAAATCCTCTCCTAATGTTGATGAAAGCTGACTAGTTGAGGTACCTGCCATCGCGGCTATGTTTGCTAGTAAAGACTGCATAGTGGGAGCTGCCGCTGCAGGTGGTGGAGGTTGGAGAGGTGGCGGGGGTTGAACTGGTGGCGGAGTTCGAGGCCCTGAAAAGACAAAAAGTTGACGCATTTTGCAGTTCCAATAGAAAAATTGCCGTAAAGCATCAAACCGCCAGCTCACCTGGTGAGCCTGGAGGAGTTTTCGGTCCACGTTGCGGCTTTGGCCGTTGTGGGGTTTCAACAGGAGTAATAGGGGGAGCATCAGGGAGTGGTGGCGTTCGAGGTCCTCGTCGTGGAACGACGGCTCCCAAATCCAATTCGGTCTCAGTCTTTAAAATACCATATACTACCCACAACAGGGTATCGTCAAATGCAATGCTACTGAAAGAAAGTAAGCATAACTCACCTTAGCGCTCTCAGGTGGTGGTTCTACCCTTACATAACCCATTGAGGTATACGATTCTAGCCGACCATAAAGCATTTTATGCCCTAACAAGCGCTCCATAAGTGATTCACGACGAACAAACTGAAGACACATAGGTATTGGATAGGGCAACTTATTGAAAAGAGGGAAAACTTGAGTAAATTGAAACAAGTAGAAATGCTCGAAATCGAGCTTTCACCTACCTCTCTAGCCATGGTGTCATCTAGGGCATGTCGTTCCAATGCTTCGCGTGACAATGTGTTGTCATGATCAACCACCGGAACCGGAGGCGGTCGTTCCTCAACAACCTCACGTACCTCACGTCGTGGTGGCTCCCTTCTTGCACGTGAAGCCGCCATCTCCCCGCAAATCCTATCCACCACAGCCAACGGGTCCTGAAAAGATAGCTATTCTTCCTCAGCTCAGGTTCCTGGGTGGTTTAGGAGACTCCATTGCGTCGCGCGCAAACAACCAGCTAGTCAGCCCGTCACAGAACTTTGGCGTCAAATCAATAAGGTATTAGCAACCTAAGTCCCATTAAGAAAATTCCACGGATATGTCTAATAAAAATTTCACAATTTGTAATCTGTTTTCTTCTATTTCACTTCTATTATATCGTACAGTTCCCCGAAACAGAATAGAAAAAACAATTCATCGGCTATCTCAAGAATGCTGATTATGGGCAAAAGTCGGACCGCGGACGGGAT